TTTAGTGTTGTTTACACTGTTCCAAACAGGCAGAAAAATAATACTGTAATCTAACAGCACCGGTTTGTCACACATAATATGCACGTAGCTCTCGCTCCTACACACTCCTTTTTCTTGATCTCCTTCTTATTGTTATTATTACAATTATTATTATGATGATCATTATAATAATAAGTAATGTCGTTATCATTAATAGGCTTTGTATTGTAACCTTGTATAACCACCATTGAGCTGTAGGCCTAAGAGCGCGTCCTGTTTAGTCTTAATGCCGTAACTTACTTAGGCCTATTTTCAATATATATGCTACTGTATCAATCAACCAATCATTAATTTGATCATGCCATCACACAGCATACGAGACATTCATGCTTTGAAATGCACTCAAGAATTTTTGTTTTACAATTAAATAAAGAGAGCTTTGAATTATTAGCCTAAACAATAAATAAACCGCAATTCCCGAAAGAATGCAACTGTTTTTAGTCTGCTGTAATAAAGGCTTTATATATTATTATTTTCCCATTAGAACAGACTCTTTGGTACACTTATTTATTTAGTGTGGTTCCAAATGGTTAGAAAAAAATATAATATTGTAATCCAACAGCAACTGCTTTGCACACATAATACTCACGCAATGCTTGCGCCTATACCCTCATTTTTCTTGATCTCCAGTAGTTTCCACAACTAAGTCAAATGTCTTCCACAGATCTGACTTCCCCTTTCCCTCCTGAGCAACCAGCAAACATTAGCCCGTTTCGAGTTTCTTTTACACGTCCTCTGCATCCATTTTGCTGGTCGACATTACTGTGTTCTGAGTTTGTTATAACCAATTTATTGATGTGATTATGATAGGCTATAGGTCAGGCCCTATTGGTCACATGCATGCGATGCTTACATGTTTCACGTAAAGAGAGCAAGGGTTGTGGGAATAGGGAATATTTAGGGAATAGGGAATTAGGGATTTCGGTAACAGAACTTTTCAGTCAGAAACAAGTAACAAACTAAATGGCTGAAATTATGTTGCAGTTTCAGCACGGACAGCGCAACAAACACTTGCTGTGCTGTGGTGCCTTTTCGCTGCAGTAGGGAGGAGAGCGAAACAACGTGCGCTAGTCACACAGGCACTCAATGTCTTTTTTTTTTAACACAGTGTGACCATCGGACTCTTTCGAGTCATTTTTGTGTGAAAATTATTTAATCAAACAGTGTGCTTAAAGCATCGGACAAGCTCAGTGCATATGTAGTTGATTTTACTCAAACACATACGGTGTGTGTCTATATATGGAAAAATAAGTTAAAAAAATTATACCAATGAATTGTTCGAAAGAACAGGATAGCTCTCGGTCGACCAATATTTCTTTTTTGTCGGGGACAGCCCTAATTTGTCATTATAACAGCAGTCTTGATTACAGTGAGTTCATTAGGAGGTATAGGCTATTTGGTTTAGGGACCAAGGCACCACATTCATATCACATAATTAAATATCATTAATATAATACCCACCCTCAGACCCCCGGACTGTCCCCCCCAGGCTCTGGGTCTAGGCGGTGAGAGAGAGAGGCTCTGGGTGTAGGGCGTTGAGATAGAGAGGCTCTGGGTCTAGAGTGGTGAGAGAGAGGCTCTGGGTCTAGGGCCGAGAGAGAGGGGCTCTGGGTCTAGGGCGGTGAGAGAGGCTCTGGGTCTAGGGTGGTGAGAGAGAGGCTCTGGGTCTAGGGTGGTGAGAGAGAGGCTCTGGGTCTAAGGCAGTGAGAGAGAGGCTCTGGGTCTAGGGCTGTGAGAGAGAGGGGCTCTGGGGCGGTGAGAGACAGAGGCTCTGGGTCTAGGGCAGTGAGAGATAGAGGCTCTGGATCTAGGGCGGTGAGAGAGAGGGGCTCTGGGTCTAGGGCGGTGAGAGAGGGGCTCTGGGTCTAGAGCGGTGAGAGAGGGGCTCTGGGTCTAGGGTGGTGAGAGAGAGGCTCTGGGTCTAAGGCGGTGAGAGAGAGAGGCTCTGGGTCTAGGGCAGTGAGAGAGAGGGGCTCTGGGTCTAGGGCGGTGAGAGAGAGGCTCTGGGTCTAGAGCGGTGAGAGAGGCTCTGGGTCTAAGACGGTGAGAGAGAGAGGCTCTGGGTCTAGGGCGGTGAGAGAGAGATGCTCTGGGTTTAGGGCGGTGAGAGAGAGGGCTCTGGTCTAGGCGGTGAGAGAGAGGGGCTCTGGGTCTAGGGCGGTGAGAGAGAGGGGCTCTGGGTCTGGGGCGGTGAGAGAGAGGGGCTCTGGGTCTAGGGCGGTGAGAGAGAGGGGCTCTGGGTCTAGGGTGGTGAGAGAGAGAGCTTTACCCAGCTGATAATGCTTCTTCATGGGCTCAGCCCCCTGCTTCACTGGGCACTTCTTCAAAGGATTCCTCCTATCAAACGCTGCTGTGATCTCAGCCAGTGTCCTGCCCTTGGTCTCGGGCAGTGTGAGGCCCACAAACAGAGAGGCCGCCACACAGACGCAACAGAATGGGATGAAGCAGAACGCATCGAGGTAACTCACTATGAACGGAAAAGCCATGCCTACTATCAAGAGGTTGATCCACATGAGGGACCCAGCCACCATGTAGGCCGCGGGCCGAGCTGTCTGGTCAAAGATCTCAGCAGGCAAGATTCCCGTCACCCCGGCAGGGCCCATACCGAAGCTGAGGATATAGCAGAACACACAGGCCATGCTGAGATAGGGCATCCCTGGGACAGAGTAGCCCTGGAGAGTCAGGGCCAGGGTGAAGACCAGCGCCCAGACCGCCATCAGGGCGTATCCACCACTGAGGAGCATCTTGCGGCCCACACGCTCAATCAGCAGGTTACACACGGCGGAAGCAGTGAACTCGCAGGCCCCCGTGCCGATAGACACATACTGGACCTTCTCCACAGGGATCCCTGCTGCTAAGAAGATGTACGAGGCATAGAAGTAGATGGAGTCGTTACCACACAGCATCATGGCGCTGCTAGCAGCCATGACAGTGCGTAGCTGAGGGTGGAGGGAGCGGTTGGAGAACAGGTCCCAGGGGGTCTGACTCTTGGCTGTGGCCCCGCCGGTGTCAGCCTGCTCCTGCAGCATCTCCTCCATCTCCAGGCTGAAGTCGGCCCCACCACGGAACCTTCCCAGAGCCCGGGCGCACGCCTCCTTGTTTCCCCGGTCCATGAGCAGGTAGCGGGGGCTCTCAGGGAACCAGGGCAGGGTGAGTAGCTGGAGGAGGCCTGGGAGGGCGTTGCTGGCCAGGAGGTAGGGCCAGAGGGGCTCGGTACCCAACAGCTCCGTCAGACCCACCACCTGGCCCAGGAAGATCCCGAACGCAGTGAACACGGCCGAGGAGAAGGCCACAGCCCCACGCAGGTGTTTGGGGGCGCTCTCTCCGAAATACATGGGCTGGACGTTCATGCTCACCCCAGCGTTGACCCCCGCTAGCAGGCGGGCGAGAATAATCATCTCAACGGACCTCGCCGCCCTGCTGGTAAGGGCGAGGACTGCACCAAGGAACAAGAAAGAGTTATTGAGAAGTAGTGAGTTCTTTCTGCCACAGCGGACAGCCATGGGTCCTGCCAGAAGAGCCCCGGTCAGGCCACCCAGGGAGTAGGCAGACACGATCACGGTCCACAGCAGGGTCACCTGGGAGGTGTCCAGGCCGGTTCCCCAGCGCTCCCAGTATGTGTCATTGATGAACCTCTGGATGTGGCTGGTGGGGGCGTTGATGATGGAGAGGTTGTAGCCATACTGGAAGGTGCCACCGATGGCAGCGGAGCACACCGTCAGGGCCAGGGTTCTGGAATTGCCTGCTGGCCTATCTGTCTCTGTTTCTGTGTCATCATCCTCTCTAACATTCATTTGCAAGATTTGAGACTGTGTTGATTCTAGACACACAGTAAATAAAGTAATCTACGAGCCAGAACGGCCGATATGGCAGGCCAATATTTCACCTGTTTCTATAGCGTGAGGGATCTTTACTTGATAGCTACTGGACAGGACGCTAAATTCTATGCCCAAACGTAACTCGACCGTCAGAAAAATAAGAATTAGGGAGGGAGTCTTACCATCTTGATGGAACTGATTCACAACTTTGGCACAGAACTACATTTATATTGAAAGATTCTGATTCGGGATGACGCTAGCTACTGTGTCCCCTTGAAGTTGAAGGATATTGCCAATCCGGGTACCTCGATGAATCGGAAATTCAGAATACGTGCTTGCCAATCAAAACGCAGAATACTTTGTGGTGGGCGTGTTCCTTACTTGTGACGCGAGACTAAACTGATAGTCAGCACTCATTGGCTATTCAGGAGAGAGACGAAGGCGCGTAGATAGATAACCTGCGTTGAAACGAACATTTAGCAAAGAAGTTGTTTATCTTCAAGGTGAATCCATAATTCGATATATTTGAATTATTTGTTAGCATTCTTATTTATTGTGAAATACATGTAGTAGCTATTCAGACAGCGAGTCAGCCTGCTGCTAGAAATCTATTTAGCTAGCTAAGTAATTGATGTTAGTTGACCAGCGTTAGCTTAGAACAAGCTCAGCTGATGCTTGCTAGTTTTCGATTTTTAACTTTAGCCCCAAAACGCCATGCACGTCCTAGTGCCCACTACTAGTCAAATGGTTGTTGGAGCTACTTGAACTTAAGGAAATCATCTTCTTACTAGAGACCACCCCTCAGAGCCTGATTCTTCTCTAGGTTCCTGACTTTCTAGGCAGTTTTTCCTAGCCACCGTGATTCAACATCTGCATTGCTTCCTGTTTGGGGTTTTCAGCTCGTTTCTATATAAGCACTTGGTGACATCTGCTGATGTTAAAAGGGCTGTATAAATACATTTGATTGATTCATCCAATCAATCAAGCATCCAGTACAGTAGCTAGCTAGCTAGCTAGCTCGAATGTCAGCTAGTTATGTTAGGAGTTAATTTTGAATATGCCAGTTGCAGATACAGTAGATCCAATCAATCAATCAATAATCCAGTACTGTAGCCAGCTAGCTAGCTCCAATGTCAGCTAGTTATGAGTTCATTTTGCATATGCCAGTTGCAAGTACAGTAGATACAGAATTGTAACGTGAATGCTACACTTCACTGTCCCCACAGTACATTACCACAGATTTTTCTTCTAGCCCAGCACTTGCTAGTCAAACACTGGATTCAACTATATTCAACTAGTTAGCTAGTTTAATCAGGTGTCTTAGTGCTGGGATATAACAAAAAATGTGTGCACACCCTGGGGTGGGTCCATGGGGAAACACTGAGCTACTTGTCAACTGTGTGTGTGTGTTTCAGGCACCATGCAGTCCAGGCGGTGGTTTGGCGGGGCTGGGTTTAGCTTTGCAGATGACCCAGTCACGGAGACGTTGTCCCAGGCCATCCGAGGCACAGGAGAAGAGCTGGACCGAGAGCCAGACGCCGGGGTGCTGTTTGGCAGCCTACATGGGAGCGTGGTAGGCCTCCGGTATTATACCGGCGTGGTAAGTAGCTATCTATCTACCAAAAGGTCAAGAAAAACTCCTTGCTAAATCCGTTAATCTTCAATTGTTCCAGGAGTTTGTCCTGAACACTCTTGGCTTTAGGCTGACTAACATCTTGCTACTTTCACTTATGTGTCACAAATAGGCCTTTAGAATTAATGACCCTATTATGTGTGGGTAGGTGAACAAAGGGGAGATGGTGTCTCTGGTGCGTCAGCCTCAGAACCCGTTCGACCGTAACGCGGTGATGGTGGCAAACGTCTATGGCAGTCAGGTGGGGCACATCAAACGAGAGCTAGCCGCATCGTTGGCTAACATCATGGACAACAACTTCGCCAGGGTGGAAGGGTGAGTGAGAGCAGGGATGACCGTGCCCATGGGTCCTGTCAAAGTTCATGTAGAGGTCCATGGATCAGTGTTTCTAACTGATTAGCAGCCGTGTGTGTGTACAAGCCAAGGTGATGAGCTGTTTTGTGTGTGTGTTTAGGGTGGTGCCGTTCAGAGTGAACAACCAGTTCACCATGCCTGTAGTTCTATCCTTCTGGGGGAGAGAGGAGAACAGAGATGCAGTGGTGAGGCAGCTAACTTCACGCGGATTCAAACTGCAGACTGGGCCTACAGGTACACACACACATGCTGACACAGGTACACTCATATCCTCCTCCTGGGCAATCTCTTGTCTCACTGTGTGTGTGTGTGTGTGTCTCAGTTGGGAAAAGTATCATGCGTGTAGACGGTTCCAGAGATCCGCCCAGGAAGACTGTCCTACTGACTGCAGAAGAGGTATTATACTTCCAACCATCTGCTTCCCAAATGGCTCCCTATTTAGTGCACTACTTTTGACTGGGGGATGTAGGGAATAAGGTGCCATTTTGGTCACAGACCCTATACACTAAAACAAATAAACTTAGGCTACATACAGTATAAAGATGAACACTGAGATATTTAAAATGATGATTACCCACATCTGGGTTGTCGTATCACGCCGTTTCCTTTCCTCCCCTCTCCTGCAGTTGAAGAATGCATTTGACAATTTATTTGAAAACCTGATGGAGGATAAGAATGGAGAGAGGGAGGCAGCGGAGGTGAGTGCATGTGTACTTGTACGTGTGTGTGTTTGAGAAAGAGAGGAGCGGGAGAGAGTGTGGATAAGACAGGAAAGGAGGAGGTAGAAATCAGAATAGACTCATGGCTATTTGTGTGTGTGTGTGTGTGTGTATCTGTCCATCTACAGGCGGTGTGTACTCCGCTGCTGCCCCACCAGAAGCAGGCTCTGAGCTGGATGTGTGTGTGTGAGAACAACACGGCGCTACCCCCCTTCTGGGAGGATAAGGGGGGGCTGTTCTATAACACACTCACACACTCCTCTGTTAGGGAGAGACCACTGAGGGTCCGGGGGGGCATACTGGCTGACGACATGGGACTGGTGAGACGAACACACACACTGATTACTGACAATGTACAGTACACAAACACACACACCCTTCCCCATCACCACTGTGGTTTGTGTTTTCAGGGGAAAACGTTGACCACCATCGCTCTGATCCTCTCCAACTTCCACCACGGGAAGCCTCTGTGTGAACCGGTAAGTGTTCTGATCTGAAGTGGGTTTCCTTCGTGGCCACTGATTGGTGAAAGGATTAGGTGATAGATTTCTCACATCTGTTCAGATCAGGGTTGGGGTGACTGGGTCAATTCCATTTTTATTTCTCCAGTCAATTCAGAAAGTAAACCCAATTCCAAGTTTTCCTTCTTGAATTGAAATGGAATTGACCCCAACACTAGTTCAGGTCAGCTGTCATGAAGTGAAGACAACAGCCTCTGTGCATGCATCTCTGAATGTCCTGTCAGTGACCTGTGTCTCTATATGTCTCTAGGAGATGTCTTCCCCTGAGCCAAAGGCCTATACCACCGCAAGGAAAACCCCTGAAGGTAAGTGTGTGTGCTCAGACATTTCAGGTGCCTGCTCTCGCTCTCTCTCACTGATGTTGATTCTCTCTGTCTCTTGTCTGTCTGTCTCTTGTCTCTTGTCTGTGTCTCTTGCTCAGGGAAGAGTGGAGATGGGGATCAGGCAGAAGCGTCTGGGGCTCCCGCTGGCCACTCCCCTTGTAAGAGGTAGGTTAGAGCCTTAGCATATAGCTCTCTGCTTGCGTATGTTATCACCTCTGGTTTCTGTCAGGACAAATTGTGTGTGTTTCAGAGCCAGTCAGGCTGTACCCCAGGTGTTGTGTGTGGACATGGTGGAGGAGGATGGGGACGAGGACTGGGTGCCTGAACAGAAAGGTAGAAGTCCCTAATACACACACTACTACTGTTTGTGTGAGCACATGCAGACTCAGCTGAACTAATATCTCTGTCCTTCACCACACAGCAAAGGGAAGGCCACAGGGAGGCAAATCCAAGGCCACCCCAACAAAGAAAGGTAAATCAGCTGTGCGTGTGATTTTTGTCCCTGCTAATGCCATGTATATGTGGTGGTCTGTGCTGCAATACAATCCCATCTGTCCTTTCAGCTGCTAAGACCAAAGGGAAAGCAGTCAGCACCTCAAAGAAAGGTAAGACAGCCGTCTTTACAAGTACTGGCATTTAGGATTTGAAAAAGAGTTTGTAAAATGTCGCCTTAGGCTTTGCATGCAAAGCTGGGTGTCACGTGTGTGTTTGTGTGTAGGGGGTGCTGTGTTGGAGGACCTGGACTTTGCAGCAGCTCTGAGTGGGTTAACACAGGGAGCTCCTCAGAAGAAGCGTGTCGGTGAGTTCAGTGGTGAATATATGGTGGATTTATTATATTGCTCTGCCATGCAGCATTGATATACTGATGGTCTGTGAGAACATAGCTACACACAACCACACCCATTTGATGACTGCATTCTTTGCTGTGTGTGTGTGTGTGTAGGGAAAGGTAAAAGTGTAGTTGCGCCGGTAGAAGCTTCCTCCTCCCAAAGCACAGACGACCCAGCAGCCAGAGCCACTCTCATCATCTGCCCCGTATCAGTACTCAGCAACTGGCTGGTGAGAACACGCACACACACACACGGTCACTTTAACGCATGCACACACACATAGTCAGTCACTCTCACACACACACACTAACATGTTAACTTGTGTTGTAGGACCAGTTGGAGCAGCATGTGCGAGCGGACGTCAAGCTGAATGTGTATCTGTACTACGGCTCGGAACGCAACAGGGACACACACTTCCTGTCCTCACAGCACGTGGTCCTCACCACCTACAACGTGCTTGCTGCTGACCACTCGGTGGGTGGAGGGGGTGTGTGTATTATAGCTCTGGATTTGGGACTGGTAAACTGCAACGCTCTCTCTCTCTGTCTCTCTCTCTGTCTCAGGGCAGTGCTAGTCCCCTCCATGCAGTGAGCTGGCTGAGAGTGGTCTTGGACGAGGGCCATGTTATCAGAAACCCAAATGCCCAGCAGAGCAAGGCCGTACTCAACCTAAACACACAGAGACGCTGGATACTCTCAGGTACTAGCCCCACACACACACTGCTAGTGGATAATGTCAAGTGCTGACGTAGAACATGTGATAAGCCCACAGTGTCGTTTGTGTCCAGGCACTCCCATCCAGAACAACCTGAGGGATCTGTGGATGCTGGTGGCGTTTCTGCGTCTGAAGCCGTTTGACGTCAGAGAGTGGTGGAACAGAGTCATACAGAGACCTGTCACACAGGGGGACAAGACCGGCCTGCAGTCAGTACACACACATATTGTCAATAACAGCGAGAGAGTCGTTCACAGAGTCATGCTAGCTTGACTGACTGGCTGGCTCGTGGTTTTTAGAGCCCTCCTGCTAAAGTGGCAACAACTGATCTTGACTTCAGCATCTCACATTTGTAACAATGGCTGACACAACTCAAATGTGTGTGTTTGACCCGCCGTGTGTGTGTAGGAACCTGCAGGCGCTAGTGAAATGTATCACGCTGCGTCGTACGAAGACCAGCCGTGTGTGTGGTCGGCCTCTGGTCTCTCTGCCAGAGAGGAGCGTCAGAATAGAGGAAGTGGAGCTGACACAGAAGGAGAGGGAGGAATACGAGCTGGCACGCACAGAGGGACGCACCACCATTAGCAGGTGTGTGATTGTGGCCGTGTGTGTTTTACCTGTGTGTGGCCGTGTGTGTTTTACCTGTGTGTGTGTGTGTGGCCGTGTGTGTTTTACCTGTGTGTGTGTGTGTATAGGTACGTTGCAGAGGGGACCGTCCTCAGGAACTATGCAGATGTTCTGGCTATCCTGGTCAGGCTGAGACAGTTCTGCTGCCATCCTGACCTACTGGGCAAGACAACTACATACACAGGTAACACGCATATATGGGGAAAGCTATTGTAACTTTTATAACTGATTGTTTTGCTGGTATTTTGAATAACCCACATGCATACATTTCTAATGAACCCCGTCCCTGACACCCCTCTTTCTCTCCCCCCCTCTCCAGGTGTGGTAGCTGTGACTCCTGCAGAGTTGAGAGAGCGTCTGATAGTGAAGCTGAGGCTGGTGCTGGGCACTGGCTCTGATGAGGAGTGTGCTGTGTGTCTGGACTCTGTCCGTCTGCCCGTCATCACACACTGTGCACACGTCTACTGCAGACCCTGCATCGCAGAAGTCATACGCAGCGAGCAGGTAGCTAACTACACACACGCCATGTCTCTCTCTCTCTCTTTCCATTGATGCAGGCATTGCCCAGGGGCACTTATTGTCTGTGTGTGTGTAGGAGCAGGCGCGGTGCCCCCTGTGCAGAAGCCAGATCAAGGCCAGTGAGCTGGTGGAGTTTCCTCAGGAGGAAGAGGAGGAGGAGAGCAACCTCTTGGAGAACTGGAGGAGCAGCTCCAAGGTAACACACACACACACACACACCTGGAGAACCACTTTTAAGGTTACACACACATTTGGACATCTGGGGTATATTCATTTGTGCAAACTGTAGCAAAATGTTTATTGGAAACGTTCAGGTAGTCCCTCCCTGTTTGGGTCTGTTTGATTCCTACTGAATACCACCCTGTAGAAAGTTGTCGTGCCTATAATTTTTGTTATGTGTGTGTATATTACTGTATGTTATATACACTACCGTTCAAAAGTTTGGGGTCACTTAGAAATGTCCTTGTTTTTGAAAGGAAAGCAATTTTTTTGTCCATTAAAATAACATCAAATTGATCAGAAATAAAGTGTAGACATTGTTAATGTTGTAAATGGCTATTGTAGCTGGAAATGACAGATTTTTAATGGAATATCTACAGTGGGGAGAACAAGTATTTGATACACTGACGATTTTGCAGGTTTTCCTACTTACAAAGCATGTAGAGGTCTGTAATTTTTATCATAGGTACACTTCAACTGTGAGAGACAGAATGTAAAACAAAAATCCAGAAAATCACATTGTATGATTTTTAAGTAATTAATTTGTGTTTTATTGCATGACATAAGTATTTGATCACCTACCAACCAGTAAGAATTCCGGCTCTCACAGACCTGTTAGTTTTTCTTTAAGAAGCCCTCCTGTTCTCCACTCATTACCTGTATTAACTGCACCTGTTTGAACTCGTTACCTGTATAAAAACACCTGTCCACACACTCAATCAAACAGACTCCAACCTCTCCACAATGGCCAAGACCAGAGAGCTGTGTAAGGACATCAGGGATAAAATTGTAGACCTGCACAAGGCTGGGATGGGCTACAGGACAATAGGCAAGCAGCTTGGTGAGAAGGCAACAACTGTTGGCGCAATTATTAGAAAATGGAAGAAGTTCAAGATGACGGTCAATCACCCCCGGTCTGGGGTTCCATGCAAGATCTCACCTCGTGGGGCATCAATGATCATGAGGAAGGTGAGGGATCAGCCCAGAACAACACGGCAGGACCTGGTCAATGACCTGAAGAGAGCTGGGACCACAGTCTCAAAGAAAACCATTAGTAACACACTACGCCGTCATGGATTAAAATCCTGCAGCATACGCAAGGGGGACAAGACCACACTGCTCAAGCCAGCGCATGTCCAGGCCCGTCTGAAGTTTGCCAATGACCATCTGGATGATCCAGAGGAGGAATGGGAGAAGGTCATGTGGTCTGATGAGACAAAAATAGAGCTTTTTGGTCTAAACTCCACTCGTTGTGTTTGGAGGAAGAAGAAGGATGAGTACAACCCCAAGAACACCATCCCAACCATGAAGCATGGAGGTGGAAACATCATTCTTTGGGGGATGCTTTTCTGCAAAGGGGACAGGACGACTGCACCGTATTGAGGGGAGGATGGATGGGGCCATGTATCGCGAGATCTTGGCCAACAACCTCCTTCCCTCAGTAAGAGCATTGAAGATGTGTCGTGGCTGGGTCATCCAGCATGACAACAACCCGAAACAGACAGCCAGGGCAACTGAGTGGCTCCGTAAGAAGCATCTCAAGGTCCTGGAGTGGCCTAGCCAGTCTCCAGACCTGAACCCAATAGAAAATCTTTGGAGGGAGCTTCAAGTCCGTATTGCCCAGCGACAGCCCCGAAACCTGATGGATCTGGAGAAGGTCTGTATGGAGGAGTGGGCCAAAATCCCTGCTGCAGTGTGTGCAAACCTGGTCAAGACCTACAGGAAACGTATGATCTCTGTAATTGCAAACAAAGGTTTCTGTACCAAATATTAAGTTCTGCTTTTCTGATGTATCAAATACTTATGTCATGCAATAAAATGCAAATTAATTACTTAAAAATCATACAATGTGATTTTCTGGATTTTTGTTTTAGATTCTGTCTCTCACAGTTGAAGTGTACCTATTATAAAAATTACAGACCTCTACATGCTTTGTAAGTAGGAAAACCTGCAAAATCGGCAGTGTATCAAATACTTGTTCTCCCCACTGTACATAGGCGTACAGAGGCCCATTATCAGCAACCATCAGTCCTGTGTTCCAATGGCACGTTGTGTTTGCTAATCCAAGTTTATCATTTTAAAAGGCTAATTGATCATTAGAAAACCCTTTTGCAATTGTTAGCACAGCTGAAAACTGCCAGTTTTATAGCTTATTTAATCAGCACAACAGCTTTTAGCTGTGCTAACTAATGATCAATTAGCCTTTTAAAATGATAAACTTGGATTAGCAAACACAACGTGCCATTCGAACACAGGACTGATGGTTGCTGATAATGGGCCTCTGTACGCCTATGTAGATATTCCATTAAAAATCTGCCGTTTCCAGCTACAATAGCCATTTACAACATTAACAATGTCTACACTGTATTTCTGATCAATTTGATGTTATTTTAATGGACAAAATAATTGCTTTTCTTTCGAAAACAAGGACATTTCTAAGTGACCCCAAACTTCTGAACGGTAGTGTATATTACTGTATGTTCATAGAATCCGTACTCCTGGCGAATGGTTTCATGTGAGATAAGATTTGATGGCTTCTAGCTACTGTAATGCACAGCCTGATCAACAAACGGTGTGTGTAGGTGGATGCTCTAATGTCTAGTCTGCTCAGACTGCGCAGTGAGGACGACAGCATCAGGAGTCTGGTTGTCTCTCAGTTCACACGCTTCCTCACTCTACTGGAGATCCCACTCAGGTAACACACACACACACACACACACATACACACACACACACACACACACACACACACACACAGAACACATTTTTTATATTTTAATCCGGATCACTCACACTCTCTGTCTCTCTCTCTCTGCCTCTAGGGAGGAAGGTTTCAAGTTTGTGCGTCTGGACGGCACTATGAGCCAGAAGAGGCGGGCTCAGGTCATCCAGGAGTTCCAGAGTGACGCCCCTGGCAGCCCATTGATCATGCTGCTGTCACTCAAATCTGGAGGGGTGGGGATAAACCTCAGCGCTGCCTCCCGTGTCTTCCTCATGGACCCAGTGAGTGTGTCATCTGTTTAGCAATCTACACTTTCCTCACACACAGACATACACCTACACACTCTGACATTTGTATGTGTGTCTACAGGCATGGAACCCAGCAGCAGAGGACCAGTGTGTGGATCGGTGTCACCGCCTCGGCCAGAAGAGAGACGTTGTCATCACTAAGGTCAGAGGTTACAGGGCTGCGGGTTGTGGGTAATGTAGTCACTACGGTATATAGTTTTGGTGTGTAGTTTTATAATGGACACAGAGGCAGAAGCAGTGTGTGTGTGTGTACATGCAAATATTTATTGTGTGTGTGTAGTTCATAGTGAAGGGCTCCGTGGAGGAGAACATGGTGAAGATTCAGAGGCAGAAGCAGGATCTGGTGGAGAAGGCTTTTGGCACCAAGAACCCCAGTGAGAGGAAGACGTCGCGTGTTGATGAAATCCGAGCCCTGATGGAGCTGTAGACGCAAGCACCAAAAACAGCACTACTTTTGAACAGAGCCCTATCGGGCAGGCCGACGTGGCAGTTGACAACCTCCGTTATTATCCATTACGTTTAGAGGGAATGTTCTGCCAGCTGTGGGACCAAACACACACACAATGCCCATAGTTTAGAGCAGTTGTTCCTGATACTGCATATGTGGGAATAAAGTTTCTGTAATAAACCATACATTGGTCTTGTTCAATTTTTGTTTTTTTTGTCCTACATTCCCCACAAAGGGAAATTCATAGCTCAGGGATCAAACCTCTGTAACATCCTCTAGGAGTCTAGGGAATGGGTGAGACATGAGTTTACTGTAGACTTGACTTACTTGCTTTACTTTACAGAGCAGAGGAAAATAATATGAGGCTAAAGGGATGTGAATCAAACAAAGGGGTGTAATTCCTAACAAAACTCAGATCAGAAATAATCTTGTTACCAGTCTGTTTGCGTCCCCTTTTTGGCCAACTGCCATGTTATTATACCAAACCATCAGATACACACCGGCGGCAGGTAGCTTAGTGGGTAAGAGCGTTGCGCCAGTAACCGAAAGGTTGCTGGTTCTAATCCCCGAGCCGACTAGGTGAAAAATCTGTCGATGTGCCCTTAAGCAAGGCACTTAACCCTAATTGCTCCTGTAAGTCGCTCTGGATAAGAGCGTCTGCTAAATGACTAATAATGTTTGTTTTTAAATGCAGGCTAGATGGTATTTAACACTAATAGACAATGTTTGTGTCCCGAATGTCACCCTGTTCCCTATATAGTGCACTACTTTTGACCAGGGCCCATAGTTTATGCAATTTTTTTTGATAATTTATCAATTTCTCTGGGATGTTCGCCTATAACCAGAGAATGTAATGGTCAATGGAAACATTTTTTAATTTTTTATGAGAAAATAGAACTATAATGAGTCATTACCATTTGGCATACTGTAGCTCTCTCTGTGAGTGTGTGTGTGTGTGTTCGTTCCTGTCTCGCCATTCTCTCAATGTTGTTCCTATACACAGTCGGTAGAACAGGAAATGATACAGAGGCAGTCAGGCAAGTTGAAACCTGTGTGCACACACACAGGGAAGTGGTAGACTACTAGGATTTATAACTGACACAACAGGACCTCTAAACACACAGGACTCTTGGACAAGTGAACTAATGTCATGGAAACGATATGCTGAAAGAGATTTACCAGGTTTAATATGATGGAATTTTATGCAAATGGCAGGTGTTATTAAACACACTCTGACATCTGGGAGCCACTGAACATTCAGAGAGAAGAGGACAAAGTTGGTACAAGCCTTCTTGCACTTCCAGGTAGGCATATTTATTGTATCGTCAAGCCTTGAATTACATTGGTTTTATTGTAAAAGTTTGCTGTGATGTTAGTGTGCATTATTGTGACGGGATTCCCTTTGAACAACACTTAGGCTATTCCCTTGTTAGTGGGGATTAAATCATAATGTGTGTAACTTGTTCTGCATTACATCTCTATTTGATTCGTTATAATGTAGGGTTGGATTTTTACTGTAGGCTTTAGCAAGATCAAAACTTTATTTCAACACCATATCAAGCAAGTTACTCTAACTCAAAGAAGATGTTTTAAATGCTTTCTCACTAGGACATTAGATCCAAGTACAATATCCATTGTCAACAAAAGACAAGTGTTATGATGACAGATCAGATGGTCCACTCTGAATGGGTAAGAATGGAGAGGGAATTGACTTGACCAATTTGACTTCTGACCAGTAATTGGTCCTGGTTGTCAATGCTTTCATAATACTTAAATTAGAGGGAGGAACTGACTTCTGTGTTTTCTGCAGTTCTCCATGGGTCTTTGGAGGCCTTATATGGGAAACTGAGATTGCAGCTTGACTGTGGGGTGAGCTGAGAATCGTCACCCCAGGGTGGTGCAGGGCTACAGGCTTCCTGTTCTGTGTGCTCTGTTTGCGTGTGTGTGTGCCTGTGTTGTGAGTCTATAGTGCTCTAAATTTGGGGTTAGGGCGTTCTGCAATGCAGTGACTGCTGTCAGCAACTTCCTGTAGCAGTATTTTCATGCACAGCGATGGGAACCAACCTTTAATTGTGTCTGCCTGCCCATTTTTCAAGTTAAAATCATGGAACAAAAACAGCTATACTGGTCAGTCTACATAATAATAATCTGTCAGGCAGAAGTGTATCATGTTGCTAGAGGACAAAGATGGATGTTAGTAACTGAGTACTCCCACCACAGAGATCCTATTAAATTAGTTATAATATGTAATTCTGTGAATCCCACAATGTTGAGGTTCCCCAACGCCTACTACCATTGTAGCAGAGTCCTGTCTCAGTTTACTTGATCGGAATTTGTTTTCATCATGTTTCTAATGCAAATAAAGTGTATGTCCCAAATGCCACCCTATTACCTATGGGCCCTGGTAAAAAGTAGTGCACTATAAAGGGAATAGGGTGCCATTTGAGATGCACAAAATTTAAAATGTACCCTATCGACTGTTTCCAGCTCCAAGATGACCTCTTCTGAAATGTGACTGTCTGCATCTCAACACAGAGGCCCCAGCTAGCGGAGCAGCTGACTGTATAGGCCTACCTACAGTAACATGGAGATGGTGCAGGTGGAGTTTGAGTATGAGTACACAGGCAGGGACGGGGCTCTGGTCTCCATCAAGCCCAACGACAGGTAATTGAATTGAAAATATTTATTGTCCATAAAATATTTCACAAAATGAAAATGTGTCTTCAGCTTGTGGTTAAATTAGTACAATTACAAACAAACAGATCAGACAACATGATATAGATGATACAACTTAGCAATACATATACAGTACACACTGTTTTGCACAGCCCAAACACATTGTTTACATTGCCTCTTTGGGCCTGTAATGTTCACAGGTACATACTGGTCTCCAGGACCAACGACCACTGGTGGCACGTCCGGAAGGACCAGGGCACCAAGCCCTTCTACATCCCTGCAAAGTATGTGAGGGAGCTCTCTCTGGAGACCCAGGGCCCACTGGACCTCACCGATCCTGGGTCTCAGAGTCACACATCCCCGCAGGCAACAACTGACTGTGAGCCACTGAAGATGTCTAACAAAGGTCAAAGGCCAAGCGCTGTGATGAGGGTCCACGTGTCCACGGATCACTCTGCGAGATCACTTTCCACTCACAGGAAGTCCGCGTTTGGGGTCTCACAAGACATCGATGATATCAAGCAGTATGAGCACGTGAAGACAATGGTGGGACTGCAGACCTCAAACAACGAGACTAGAGATATTCCGCCATGTGATCTGAAGAGGCATAGTTTAGCTCCAGGTGTCTCATTCACCTCAGCCTCAGACGCTCCAGGCCTTGGTGATTTGCTGCAGCACCCTTCCCTAAAGCTCCTTGTCCCACCCGAGCCCACAAGTGGACTTCCCCAGTTGCAGTCAAGCCCTCTTCTGCTTATCAAGGATCCAGTTGAACAGCAGAACTCAGACGGCCGGATGATGAAAACACTAGCAGGGGATCCTAGTGGGCAATCTCATTTATATCAGGACTCCAATATCTATGAGACTATATCAGATATACCACGCTCAGAGTTGACAGACATAGTGGGAACAGAACTGGCTGGATCTCTGGTTGCAATGAAAACACCAGCAGAACAACAGCAGAGCCTGGATCAAACGTGTGGTCCGATTGATGTTACAGCCCCTTCTCCTTCGGATCAGGTAAGATTGAGAGTCAGTGATTGATTTATTGATTGATTGATCACTGTAGACATGCGTAACATCCTACATACATTCATAATAAGCAAGTATTTTATTTGACTTTATATTGATTAATATATGGCTATTTGTAAAGTATGTGATTTGCACTTCAATGGAAATAACTGTTGTTATTACTAACTTCTGAAACCAGAGGGCACTGTAAAGTAATGGTAGAATCAGAAAACCAGTCAGTATCTGGTGTGTCCACCATTTGCCTCATGCAGCGCAACACATCTCCTTCGCATAGAGTTGATCCGGCTGTTGATTATCATGCTAAAACATGAGATGATGGAGTCGGATGAATGGCACGACAATGGGCCTCAGGATCTCGTCACTATCTCTGCAGTCAAATTGCCATAGATAAAATGCAATTGTGTTCGTTGTCTGTAGCTTATGCCTGCCCATATCATAATCTCACCGCCACCACGGGGCACTCTGTTCACAACATTGACAGAAAACCGCTTGCCAATACAAAGCCGTACATGTGGTTTGCGGTTGTGAGGCCGGTTGGACGTACTGCCAATTTCTGTAAATCGACGTTGGAGGTGGCTTGTGGTAGAGAAATGAACATTCAATTCTCTGGCAACAGCTCTGGTGGACATTCCTGCAGTCAGCATGCATCTGTGGCATTGTGTTGTGTGAGTCTGAGCCTTTTATTGTCCGCAGCACAAGGTGCACCTGTGTAACGATCATGCTGTTTAATCAGCTTCTTGATATGCTACACCTGTCAGGTGGATGGATTATCTTGGCAAAAGAGAAATGCTCAATAACAGGAATATAAACTAATTTGTGCACAAAATCTGAGAGAAATAAGCTTTTTGTGCATCTGGAAAATGTTGGGCCCAACACTTTACATTTTGCGTTTAGATTTTTGTTCAGTAGTACATGCAGTATGGAAAACTGGAAAGTCAGTAAACATTTCCACATATTCAAAGTCACTGCTGCCTACTATCTGACTGTTTATTGGGCATGCATCTGTCCTATGTCCCACTGTTCAGCAGCCTGATGGCTGATGGAGTGAAACTTGCCTTGCTCCTATTCTTACTGAACAGTGGGACCCTTAAACATTGGGCAAGATTGTGTGTGGGGTCCTCTATGATGCATTTGGCCTTGTTCCTTGCCTGTTTATCATAGAGGCCCTGAAGCCCCCTGTACTGCAGCCCGCAGAGCTTGGACCCTAGATTCACAGTCCGCCTGAGGATACCCTTATTAGCCACTGACAGAAAGTCGGCACACTCTCTCTATATGGCAGGTGTAGTAGTTGGAGAGTATCCGGGTGTTAACATTCGGTTGTCTCGGTCTGCGATGGAGGTACAGTCATTGTTGGCATTTTTTATTGATGTTCTTAGTGTTGGCATTAAAAGAGAGTGTGCTGTCCATGATGGTTCCCAGGTACTTAACTCCCCACTCTCTCTTCACCATCCAGGACTAGGTGTCTCACTGGGTCTGCCTTCCTCCGGAAATCAATTAGCAGTTATTTTGTTTTGTTGATGTTGAGTGTGAGGTAGTTGTTATTGCACCAGTCATGAACCCTTCATTGTAGTAACCCTGTTGTATTTATTTTAAGAAAAGGAGAGGTCTGATTTGTTCCATGATTCATAGAGGAATTATTACTGTACTCAATGCTTACATCCCAAATGGCACCCTATTCCCTATACAGTACACTACTTTTGACCAGAGGCCCTGGTCAAAAGTAGTGCCCTATATAGGGGAATAGGGTGCAAATTGGGACTCACACAATGAATCACAGTCACAGATGAGAACTAGGTGTATGACTTCTGTCAGATTTCCCAAAAGGTCATGTGGTCTACAGGACTCAGCTAATGAATCACAAACTATCACATTCAGAGAAATGCTGTATTACCTTCTGGGATCCAAAAACATGAGTGAAAATATGTTTTCAGTAAGAGAGCCTTGTGATCTGCATTAACGATACATGGTGAGAATGTCGTTAACAGAATGCAGTGTGTTCGGTTGAAAGTTGTGCTGTTAACTTGGTTTATCCATAAAAAAAATTATCCATAAGACATGCATGAGATGGTAAAATCCCTGCTAATGTATGGAAAGATTCCTAACATAGCATAGCATATATTGGCTGTAGTAGGCTAAATTCATTATTCTATGCCAGCTCATCTACATATGAATACACACACACCATTTTGTGTGCCAGTCCAACGGGGTAAGGGGTGCCCCTAGAATGCAACTGTAGGGTCCAGACCAGCTGATTCTAGTGTTCTATCTGGTCAGGTTGGTGCAACTGTCTGGAATACGTTATGCGGGACCAAATCACTGTTAGGTGCGTATGGACCTATGCAATTTGATTGGAACATTTATAGGTATCTGTCAGATTTCCCAAAAGTGGTATCCTCTTTCTACCTCTTAAGTCATTATTTTTACTTTAGTGAATGTGTGTCGGGGTTAGCGGAGAGTTGTTGGGGCAACCACATAACAGGTTCATTCTGCTGGTTCGAATAGATAGGCTTCCTACTGTAACCAGAAAGGAAAGAGTTAATCAGACATTTAGGCTACGGACAAACCAACCACTCCCAAACGGCTGGTTGTAGTTGCTTCCAGCTGCTGCACGTTGCCAGAGCACCCGTGACATTGACGAGAATTATCCAACCATAAAAAATATGAAACTTTAGCGAATGCAAATTACATTGAATAGAGTTGGTTGGTTTGACAGGCGCAACATAGTTTTTCAGAGAAACCTGAAACTTTCCGCGAGTCCGCTGTCATCGTTGGTTCACCTGTTCGGAGGTAAAGTGACGTATGCCGCTTCTAGTATCAGGATGTACAGTCAAGCATGGAACAATTTGTATCCATCTCGGAGTAGCCTATATATTAGGTACATTTTATGAGCTCCACTCACGATTTTAAAGTTATTACATTGTTGCGCGTGGCAATGTGAAAACATTCAGATTGCTGACTAAACTAGTTTGCAAAGTTTGACAGTAGGAAAGTAGCCTGTATAGTAGGCCTACATTGCTATAACAGAACTTGATCTAGTTTGCAAACTGAAACGTGTATATCTATTCCGATTAAAGTGAATGGGTATTTAAAAAGCTTAGATAAAGCCACAGCAGATATTGGTTTATTTTCTAAAATCGGTTTTACCATAATAAGCTATCCCTAAATTACAGAAAGGCAGAGATCTGGTTTGTGGCTCTCAACAATCCTCCTCAGTGGAATGAATGACCTCCTCACTTTCCCCTGTCTGTCGGGACACAGAGCCTACTTCCCAAATGGCACCCTATTCCCTATGTATTGCACTACTAAAAGCAATGAACTGTATAGGGCATAGGGTGCCATTTAGGACGCAGAAAGCTGCAACTCATGTGGAGGTGCGAGGACCTCTCAAGTTGAGCCCCACTTCCCCACAATGGAGGTCCCGTCTCCATGGTAATGTGTGGAGGTTTAGAGTTTAATGCAGAAGAAGCAGCTAGCTAGGGCTTAGGTTAGGTGGCAGTGCCAGCCATGCCATGCAGTGTGTGTATAGGCTGTGCACACTGGCAATCAAGCTCACATTTAGGTCATTCTCAAATCTTTGCTCATTCTATCTGTACATGACATGTACTGTAGGCTAGTTCCATTGCTTCCTGAATTGAAGCCCTCTAGGTAAATATACTGAACAAAAATATAAACGCAACAATTTCAAAGATTTTACTGAGTTACGGTTCATATATGGAAATCAGTGAATTGAAATAAATTCATTAGGCCCTAATCTATGGAATTCACATGACTGGGAATACAGATATGCATCTGTTGGTCAAATCAAATCAAATGTATTTATAGAGCATTTTTTACATAAGCAGATGTCACAAAGTGCTTATACAGAAACCCAGCCTAAAACCTCAAACAGCAAGCAATGCAGATGTAGAAGCACGGTGGCTAAGAGAAACTCCCTAGAAAGGCAGGAACCTAGGAAAAAACCTAGAGAGGAACCAGACTCTGGAGGGTTGCCAGTCCTTTTCTGGCTTTGCTAGGTGGAGATTATAAGAGTACATGGCCATTAAGGCCAGATCGTTCTTCATGATGTTCAAATGTTCACAGATACCTTTAAAAATAAAAAACAGTTGGGGCGTGGATCAGTAAACCAATCAGTATCTGGTGTGACCACCATTTGCCTCATGCAGTGTGACACTTCTCCTTTGCATAGAGTTGATCAGGCTGTTGATTGTGGCCTGTGGAATGTTGTCCCACTCGTCTTCAATGGCTGTGCGAAGTTGATGGATATTGGCTGGAACTGGAACAGCATCCCAAACATGCTCAATGGGTGACATGTCTGGTGAGTTTGCAGGCCATGGAAGAACTGGGACATTTTCAGCTTCCAGGAATTGTGTACAGATCCTTGAGACATGGGGCCATGCATTACCATGCAGAAACTTGAGGTGATGGCGGCGGATGAATGGCACGACAATGGGCCTAAGAATCTTGTGACGGTATCTCTGTGCATTCAAATTGCCATCGATAAAATGCAATTGTGTTCGTTGTCCGTAGCTTATGCCTGCCCATACCATAACCCCACCGCCACCATGGGGCACTCTGTTCACAACGTTGACATCAGCAAACTGCTCGCCCACATGACACCATACACGTGGTCTGTGGTTGTGAGGCCGGTTGGAAGTACTGCCAAGTTCTCTAAAACGACGTTGGAGGTGGCTTATGGTAGAGAAATGAACATTACATTCTCTGGCAACAGCTCTGATGGACATTCCTGCAGTCAGCATGCCAATTGCACTTTCCCTCACAACTTGAGACATCTGTGGCATTGTGTTGTGTGACAAAACTGCACATTGTAGTGGCCTTTTATTGTCCCCAGCACAAGGTGCACCTGTGTAATGATCAAGCTGTTTAATCAGCTTCTTGATATGCCACACCTGTCAGGTGGATGGATTATCTTGGCAAATAAGAAATGCTCACTAACAGGAATGTAATCAAATTTGTGCAAAACATGTGAG